AAAAAAAATCTGAGTCTCTGCCTCGTGGAGAATCTCACTGCGTGCTGCTGAAAGGGAGCTCTGGTGAAACCTTTCCCAGAGTGAGCCCAAGAACCCCCGAACTCAAAAGACGACATCAGCATGAGTTTGATCCCCAGCCAGGGAAGTGACCCACATGGCGCAGCAGACTTCCCCTGACCTGCCCACTGCTCCCCTCCCCTGCCTGTTCTGCTTCCCACTCTGTCTCTGGTGAATCGTCTCACCCCCTGAATCTCTGACCCCTACCTCAATTCTGTGTACAAAAATAAACAAACAGCAACAAACACACAGACAGCCCTATACCGCACATTTCCACACATTTCCCGACAGAACCTCAGACCTTGGGAGGTGCACTTCTTGCAGAGAGGAGGAACGGCTGGGACTAGCAATGACAAAGAGGCCTCATGTGACTGCAGGCAGTGGCGAGCCACCCGCATATCCCAGTGCTGTGACTGACTAGTAATGCCAATGCCACCGTCATGGGTAATGGGGTGTTTGTTATCCCCAACCTGGCTGTGCTGCTTCTCCTACTTTTCTGAGGGCAGTTGAAGGACAGTTAGGCGAAGGGGCAGAGGCCTTTTCTGGCATTGGCTGTGGGCACCCAGTGCCAAACTATGAGCAGCACAGTTCCAGAGACTCTGCCCACTGGGAAAGGCTCATCGGGTCCCTTCCCTTCCAAATCCAAAAGCAATTTTGCAATGTGACACCACCCTACAGGGGTCCAGAAGGGCCCGGGGCATGCACTCACCAGCAACAGTGCTTCCAGCTGGTTAATGTAGATCTCTTCGCTGGCCAGGAACCCCGAGAGTACCAGCTTCCTCATCTCGAGGCCTTTCCCTGCTTCCACCTGCAGAGAAGCAAACCCAAAGCCACAGCTGATGAGAAAGGAAGCCAAATCTCAAATGGCCTGTTTTCTTGTCTTTTCCCTCTTCTTTAATGTTTTGATGGGGATAAAAGCTAGGAAATCTTGGAAAATATAGAAATGTAAAAGGAAAAACAATCACCCATATTCCTACTACTAACCGCTAGTTCCGTTTCTCCCCCATCCTTTTTCACATTTGATATTCATCCACCCATGCATATTTATCCACCCAACATACTTAACCTTATAAAATTGACCTCGTGGGGTGGGGAAGAGACAGGATGGCAGAGGCCGGGCATGGTCCATGGGAGAATACAGCATGGCCCAGCAGAGGCACCAAGAGGAAGTGATGTAAAAACTTCCTTTATGCAGAGTGGTTGGAACTAGCCACCAGAGTCCCAGCCCTGTGGCCTTCTAGCTATACCTCTGACTTATCTTTCTGTCCCTGAGGCTCAATCCCACAAGAGGAGGTGTTGGCCGTGGGGCCATGAACACCACAGCATTTCCTGACTGCCTCACTGTGTACACTGCAGCTCTAGCAGGCCTCTCTCCACTCCAGAACTTCTGCCCCTCTGGGAATCATGCCCCATGTGGCTTTAAATGCCCAGCCAATAGCACAGTGCCTGGGGTAGGGAAAGTGTGTGAAAAGAAAACACTTTTCTTGCCATCCAGGATTGCCAAGGGCCATTCCCAGCCCCCTCTCTTTGCCCACCTTTCTCCCTCCACCGGCCACATCTGCTACTCAAGTCCCCCACAGCACTCGTGCTGACCTCTTATAAGGAGGTGCCTGGTGCCCACCTTCCCCTCCACTGTCCACAGCAGCCCACGTGCTCCAGGACTGTTCTCACTGACTTCTCCCTCCCGCCATAAAGTGCCAGGTCAACCGCTTATATCTGATGTTTCTTAAGGACTTAATATCAACAATGGAAAAAATGTGATTATGTGGGGATTTAATTAGGTTATTTGTCTACTTATTTATTCAACAAATATTTACTGAAAGGGGAAACAAGCATACATTAGATCCTGTTCTCAGGTGGAAGAAAGATGTATTTTAGAAAAACAAGTAAGTATATGACCTTTAATAAACTATGATATGGGGGCTTGCCTGGTGGCACATGGAGTTAAAGTGCAGCACTATGAAACTATCTGAATTCCATCCCCAGCAGGGGAAGCTGACCCATACAGCTCAGCAGACCTCACCTGTCTCCCCTCTGCTGGTGCTCCCCAACTCCACAGTGTATTTCAGTAGATCTGCCTGTTCTGCTCCCCATTCTGTCTCTGGTGAGTCCCTCACCCCTTTACACCTGTGGCCTGTACACCCAAGCTCTTATATGCATAAATAATCTTTAAAAAAATGATAAACTATGGGGGCCCTCCCTGGTGCTGCTGCAGGTAAAGCACAGCACTGATAAGCTAAAGCCATTTCAGCTTGAGTCCATCCCCAGCCCCGGAGGTGACCCACATGGTGCGCCAGACCTCTCCTGACCCGCCTGCTGCTCCCCTCAGCAGTGTACTTCATCATCGGCCTGTTCTGCTCCCAGCTCTGTCTCTGGTGAAGCCTCTCACTGCCCCTGTACCTCTGGCTTGTACCTCAGTTCCGTATACATACATAAATAAATCTTTAAAAAGAAAAAAAAGATAAACTATGATATGCAATCCAGCTTATTTGGGTACCTCAGTGGTTCAGTGATGCCTGGGGCCTCTCCCTACCCTTCCAGAGCTCTTGTCTTCTCAAATGCCAGGAGTGTTTCAGCTTTTGAGCTTCAGTTTTTGCTACTCCTGTTGCCTAAATGTCTTCTCCCACTCCAGCTCCTCTTATCTAAATGCCAGCACTCCTGATGGCACAGCTGGTCTCTGGCCTGCAGCGTCAGCTCCCACAACCTGGGAGTCTGTAGCACCTTGTTCCCCATCGCTGATTTCCTAGGGCTGAAGCACCTCATCATACTCCCCTGCACATCCCTGAAGCCAGCACCAAGCGACACCCCTAGCAGGGGGCACCTCCCATGCATGAGCCTGGCCTCACAAGTCCTTTCTATCTTCCCACTTAGCCCTCAAATCCCTCATAGAGGAGTGTACAATATTTTCCCATTCTACAGTTGGAAACAACAAACCAGGGTTAACACAGGGAAGAGACTAACTCAGGATCATGCAGCAGAGCGGGGTCCTTGTACACCAAGCTTCATGCCCATCCACTGCTCTGATGATTTCTTTGTGCCTGTGTCCCTTGTCTAAGCAATGCTTGATTACCTGGAATCTCTCCCTTTCTGTGCATCAAATGCTTAACCTTAACATGGCTGGAAGCGTGTGTGAAGCCATCAGAATCCTAAGTCCTGAGAAGAGCCCCTCCCCCCCCACCCACCACCCCACCCTCACCCCACAGGCATGATTCACAGGTGTTTCCACTCTTTCCCCAGGTGAGAGTCATCCTTGGCCTCACCAGCAACCCATTTAATAGATCTGCTCTGGAGGCCACTGCCCCAAAGTCTCTGAAATGCTATCTGACCCTATGGTAGAAGAAAATGACTTGCTAAAGACATGCATATTCTGCCCCCAAACCTGGGACTACTGCCTTGGTAATATGGTAAAAGGGTCTTTCTGATATGCCTAATTAAGAAGTTTTAAATGGGGAGATGCTCTTGCATTACCCAAGCGGACCCTATGTAATCACAAGGGTCCTTATGAGAGGGTGGTGAGGGGTTCAGAATCAGAGAAAAGCCCATGTGACCCCAGCGGCGGGCTGTGACTGAGCTTAAGATGCTACGCTGGTAGGTTCAAAGACAGAGGATGAGGCCATGAGACAAGTAATATAGGAAGCTTCTAGAAGCTGGAGAAGGCAAGGGAGTGGGTTCTGTCCTCCAGAGCTCCCAAAAGGAATGTAGGGCTGCTGACCCTTTTAGACTTGTAAGAGAATAAATGTGTGTTGCTTTGAGCCACTAAATGTGTAGTAATTTCTTTCATCAGCATTAGAAAACCAGTATGGACGCCAAACTTTAGGGAAGAACAATGGTTATTTATTGATGGCTTTGAGTACTTGAAAGCACAGTTTTAAGTGCTTTCCATGGATTAAGTCACTGGAATCTGGAAGGTGTTTTCATTATTCTCCTGAGGCACAGAGAGAACAGATGCCTGGAGCTGTGCCTTGCAGACAGGTAGGTAGGTGGCAAAACCTCCTAGGAACAAGTTCGGAACTGGAGCAGGCCCAGCCCAGCTCAAGGTCAGATCCGTGGTGACCTCCCTGTATGCTGCACAGAACTAGCTACTTCCAAGCTGGACGAACTGGAAACTGGCCCTCCCTGTTAAGGGCTAGTGCCCCATCCCTGACTGTGCCCCATCCCCCTCCTATTCCTTGGCAACCAAAGATTTGCCAGAAGGCCTCGAAAACCCACTAAAAGAAGTCACTCGGGGCATACTGTGAGCTGAATTGTAGAGGCGGCTGGACTAGGCCTAGGTGAAGAGCTGTCCGAGCCTTTACCCATTCTGGGAGGAGCATGGACCCCTATGTCAGCCCCTGTGACCATCCATTTCAGCAAGATCCTCTCTTCAAGAGACTCCCCACAGTCAAGAGACCCCACTCTGCTCCACATCCACCCTGAAGTGTTGGCTAGCATGGAGGGGAGGGAGAGCTTAAGGATGTGAAAATAAACTCTGTAGCTCTCACCAACAGGAGGCCTGTTACTCAGGCAACACCAAAAACCTCTTCCATTTTTGTTTTTTTCTTTCCTCAGACTCCCCCCGCCCCCATGTTCCTGGTTTAGAATTAACTGGAAATTCACAATTGTTTCTTCAACCCTTGTAGAGTTCTTCTTGTTTTAAGAACATCAGGGCTCAACATTCATTCATCCCTCAATATTCCCCCAGCACTGAGGAGACAAAGGTGGGGGAGACAGTCTCTGTTCCCAATGAACACCCCACAGGTGCCCACGTGCCCAGAATCCCTGGGGCAAGTTCTCTAGAGAGTTCAGGGCACCCCGCAGCTTGCAACTTGCCTGGCCCCCCAAACAGGAAAGCTGTTTTCTGAGTGACACTGTCCCCACTTCCTCCCCAAGCAGAGCTTATGAAATGAAGCTGCAGGAGCTCATTTATCTTCAGCATTTTACACAATCTACTCAGCTGACGGTCTGTCAGCCTGGGGACCCCAACTCCAAGAGGTCAAGTCATTCTGATAGGGATACAATCTATAAGTAAGGCTTAGCCAGTTCTGGCTTGATCCCCTACAGAGTTTAGAGGCTAAATAGACTCCAAAGGCTTGGTTCTAGGCCAAGCCAAGACACAAGCTCTCCAGGAGTCCTGATCTCCAAGACAAGAATGAGGCAGGACCAGCTGCAATTCAAAGCCTTAGCTAAGAGGCTGTAGACAGCAGAAGGCAGCCCATGGACCACACCAGCTTGACGGAACACCCAGGATCTGCTGGGAGTAGAGCCACAGGGTCTAGCTACACCCATGCCAAGCACTGACTTCAGGAGGGATAGCTCCTCTCCGAGTTAAGACAATGCAGGGACATCCAGCCATTTTCTCCTCTCCCCAGTACTAGGCACTGGGAAGGTCTCTTTTGGCTATTTCTTCCTCAGCAGAATACAGAGCAGGGAGGAGAGTGGCAATTGCTAGAGGACAAAGCCCAAATTCTAGCTGTTCCACCCTCCTGCAGAGCCTGTGGATCCTGTACTCCAGGATCCCTACTGTCTGAAGCTTTAAACAGACCCCAGAGGGTCCAGCAGTACTTGCAAACTTCAGTTGTGGTTCTTCTCCCACCCCTTGCAGTTCTGTCACCTGCTCTAACATTTACTCAGAACTGTTCTTTCCAATTGGGTTTTTAAAAGCACAGTCTTAGCTCAAGCATTATATTTGAAATCCTAGGAAAGCTATGCAAATCCTATTTTTCTACCCATTAAAATATATACCTAATTATAAAGTTAAAAAAAATATATCCTCAAGTCATCATATGTGGCCCACATTTCAGAAAACACCCAAGTGGGGGGGACACAGGC